CCTCCAAAAGTCTTCTCTTCACTGTGCGTGCAGATGCACTCACACCAGCCGGCTGCCATTCCTGAGCAAGCTCTGCACTGGTGGTGCCCCGATCCCGCAGCTGAATCAACTTTAGGAGACGGTCCTGGCGCTTGCTGGACTTTTTTGGGCGCCCTGACGCCTTCTTCACAACAATTGAACCTCTCTCCTTGAAGTTCTTGATGATCAAACTTTTGACCACGACTGTATTCACCCCCTTTGCTATGAAGCCCCTAAATAAGATGTGGTGCAACCAATTACCTTCAGAAGTCACATAATTAGTTAAATAAAATCCACCTGTGTGCAATCTAAGTGTCACATGATCTCAGTATATATACACCTGTTCTGAAAGGCCCCAGAGTCTGCAACACCACTAAGCAAGGGGCACCACCAAGCAAGCGGCACCATGAAGACCAAGGAGCTCTCCAAACAGGTCAGGGACAAAGTTGTGGAGAAGTACAGATCAGAGTTGGGTTATAAAAAAATATCCGAAACTTTGAACATCGCACGGAACACCATTAAATCCATTATAAAAAAATGGAAATAATATGGCAACACAACAAACCTGCCAAGAGAGGGCCACCCACCAAAACTCACGGACCAGGCAAGGAGGGCATTAATCAGAGAGGCAACAAAGAGACGAAAGATAACCCTGAAGGAGCTGCAAAGCTCCACAGCGGAGATTGGTGTATCTGTCCATAGGACCACTTTAAGCCGTACACTCCACAGAGCTGGGCTTTACGGAAGAGTGTCCAGAAAAAAGCCATTGCTTAAAGAAAAGAATAAGCAAACACGTTCGGTGTTCGCCATAAGCCATGTGGGAGACTCCCCAAACATATGAAAGAAGGTACTCTGGTCAGATGAGACTAAAATTGAGAGCTGGTTGAGAGAATGCCAAGAGTGTGCAAAAGCTGTCATCAAGGCAAAGGGTGGCTGTTTGAAGAATCTCAAATATAAAATATATTTTCATTTGTTTAACACTTTTTTGGTTACTACATGATTCCATATGTGTTATTTCATAGTTTTGATGTCTTCACTATTATTCTACAATGTAAAAAATAGCAAAAATAAAGAAAAACCCTTGAATGAGTAGGTGTGTCCAAACTTTTGACTGGTACTGTATATATATAAAACTACAACTAAAGACACACACATTTACATAAATAGTTTTTGATAACAATAAGTATTTGTTTAATTATTTTTCTGTACCAGTTGCCATTTCCTGCAGTCAATGACCAAAAGCACCCTCTTTGGCCTCATGGGTGTAATATTATTCATATTGTTTATAATTTCATAATTAATCAAATAAAAACATGTTTTTTTACGATGAAAATCCGCTGTTTCTTTGTCAAACAGTTTTGTTATATTTCAGTCTCCTGAGATGTATATAAAGTGTAATGTTGGGATGCAAACTCAAAATGTAATAGATATGAACTCTATACTATATCTGACATGATACAGGTGTCTTCTTTTTTTGAAGCCCATAATCATGTCTGTGAGGTGTATACTTTTGTTTCAAAGTAGATTTGTTTAGGACTACCAAGAAACACTTTGTGTTACCCTGATTTAGCCCACTGCAGTAAAAGGTTAACGGTGAAGCATACTGTACCTCCCTGCATCTTTGTATACAGTATCACCAAACCTTCCAGCACTGAATGAATGGCTTTAGGGGGGAACTATTACAACTGATCAACTTCCCTGATGATTTACTATTGGACAATCTGAGAAAGGAAGTCCTTTTTATGAGTAAACAGGAGGTGGATGAGAAGAGTATGAATAACATGATGGGCGTGGTCCTTTCAGATGTCAATGTTATCAAAATAAAGAGAATCACTTAACGCTGACTGTCAATCAGGCCTATTGATGACATCAACTACTTATAATAACCTGTAAACTGTTAGGGAAAGGGGATACCTAGTCAGTTGCACAACTGAATGCATTCAACTGAGTGGTTGTTTTGGGAGTTAATTGCCTTGCTCAAGGGCAGAACGGCAGATTTTTCCACTTTGCTGGCTCGGGGATTCCAACAAGCAACCTTCCGGTTACTGTCCCAACACTCTAACCCCTGTATCTAATCAATGGAAGATGGAATTCAAATTATGGAATTAAAAGTTAAAGGAGAAGGATAGGCTACAACGACCAAGAGCCAACAGGTAGGCTGCTACTTAATATTCTGAATGGAGTTGTTATGTGTAACTGTAGGATGAGAAAGCGCATGCACTGCAGCCTCAGTTAGCCTAGTTAGCTAACATTAGCTAGCTTAACGAGCTTCTCCCGGTTTGATGCAGTCAAGACAGGTACTACGTAATCATATTTGATGATAAATAACCTAGCTATGGCAGCTATTAGTCTACCATAACGCGAGTCGGCTTGGTTGGTTGCTGTCTCTCATCTCTCCCTCCCTCCTCCCTGCTCACCCTGTCACTAGCTCACAGTACGGCCCCTCCCCCTGCCTGCTAGAGCTGCACATCTCCCTCCTCTGGCGCTTTATCAGTTCCGGTTAATAAAGTAGGTATACAAAAATTATTTTCTGTTGCTTCCCTCACTCTGATCGGATCAGACCGGGTCTGGATCCGACCAGGTCTATATGGAACGGGTCTAGTTGTGTTCGGGTCCGTTCGGAACGGGTCTCTATATTTAAAAAATATATATGTACGCATATCGGGTCTGGGTGGGAAAGCCCCTGGTCTATTTCGGAAAGGGTCCAACTTTTTGGACCCTTGGAGACCTCTAGTTTGAAGTAGTCATGTCAATCGAACAAAAAAGTAATCTGTGACTCTGACATTGGTTGTTTTCCTGTCCGACTACATTGCAGATGCATGCCAGATATCACTACGCTTGGATAGGTGTTTAACTATCAGCTAACCCCATCATATGATATTGCAATCTGATGCCGAATGCACAGTCGATGACGTGGCACGCAACCATTGGTTGATGCAATGCAACTTCTGCACATCTAGTTGTGCTTTCAAAATAACTTGGGAACTCAGAGCCTCCCGAGTTCAAATTTGAGGATTTTTTTGCGTAGAGCTTCCGATTGGTTGAATCTGATATTTTCCAAGTGGGAAACTTGGAACTCATCTTTCTACAACAAGTTTCCATGTTGGAAATGTCCGTTTCTGAGTTGTCTTGAACGCAGCATAGTGAGGCAGGAACATGACCATTGACTTCAGTGGCAGATGGGTAAAGAATGTGATTATTTGCATGTACTTGACAATTATGCATTGAAATATTTGCACTAAAAACATATTGCAGTACGCATTATAGCCTAGCCTAGTATATAAAATATCCCCAAGCCTGGTCATTTCAGGTTTCTTTATTTATATGATGATGAACTTTATTGCTATTAGGCCCAGGGCATGAGTTATATCCCTTCAAATCAAATTTGATTGTCAAATACACGTGTTTACCAGATGTTATAGCGGGTGTAGCGAAATGCTTGTGCTTCTAGCTCAGACAGTGCAGTAATATCTTACAATTTCACAACATATACCCAATACACACAAAAAAGTAAGGAATGGGATTTAAGAATATATACATATATGGACAAGCAATGACAGAGCGGCATGGACTAAGATACAGAAGAATATTATAGAATAGAATGCAGAATATACATATGAGATGAGTAGTGCAAGATATGTAAACATTATTAAAGTGACTAGTGTTCCATTTCTTAAAGTGGCCAGTGATTTCAATAGGCAGCAGCATACTGTGAATTGTGTTTCTGTTAATAAGGTATAGTAAATCAATGAGCAGAGTACACATAAATTAATATATCATTTGACTTTTAGTTAAATTACTCATTCTGAATACTTCGTTTGGAATGCAGGGCTGGTTCATGAGCCTAGCAACAGCAGTTATCCGCCAATCGCAGCGCGAGAAAGAATGAGGTGGGAGGGGTTTGATGCACGGTCCTCATTCACCAAGCCATGAGGAGTCACACCCTCTTCTTCAATGTATATCATATCAATTGTCTATGGAGGAAATAAACCAAACCAAATTATTAGTCTTACATGAGGAAAAATACTAAGAATTAGCACATCATAGAATTCAGTACTTTTAAAATACTCACTTATTGCCTCTCTCTGCACTGTGCACTGTGCACTCACTCATAATGTTTATAAACACTTGAACATGTAATTGGCAGATGTATCATTCTGCAGAACGTAATGTACTAGTGGCTGGCTACCTAAATAAAAAAGATGCTGCAAAGTTGTCATGTTATTTAAGAGGGTATGATATTTGGCCCCGCCTTTTATAAAGCGACAGGAAGCGCCTCCACTTTACCTAGTGATTTGCCAGTGTTTAGAAAAAAGTAGTAAGGCCGAAGTTAAATCGAAGGATTTGATCGAAGACATCCGCAACAGTTTCTGCCAGTTTAGTGTAAAATCTATGTGTGACCAACCTCGAATGTGGTTTGATAAGAAGAACCAAGTGAAAAACATGATTTCGTTCATGCACTAAATGTGGCAGTATAGCCTGCTAACGTTAAAGAAAACGTAAAGACACGTGGTAAGTAGCCTATTACATACAATTGAGTTAAAATTCTGTTCACATCATCTTGTAAAATATTTCTTAAAAACAAATGTCGCAATGTATTCCTGCTAGTTTGGGGCACTGTTTACATATCAACTCATAATCACAAGTTCTGCACAACTTGTTGCATGAATTTACTATTGCCGCTAAAAACGTGTTTTGCCATGGCAAAAATAAGTATAGAACCATGTTTTAACATATACGACTTTTTGCCACGTCAGATGTTAAACTGCATTTGAAAAGTATTGTGGCCTATTCTCTGTGTTGTCTGAGAAGAGAACTATGGAGGAACACCACGTGTCGAGTGGGTGCTTTCGTTTTCATGCTTTATGCCACGAGTTCTGTCCAATATTTTGGTAACATTAGCACATTTTGCTTACTTAGGTTATTTGATCAGAAAATACTTGGACAACTACATTTAATTAAATTATGTTTATTAACATTATATGGAGGTAGGTAGATTAACAATGAAAGTTGTCCTACCTTTTGTTTCTTGGGTAGAATATAGGACCACATCAGTAAATAATTCAGAACAAATTTCAGATGTCTTTGATGCACCGTTACATATAGAAAAGTATACAAATGTGTCATATACTATTGATAATTTACACCTGTGAACCATGTGACCACGTTTAGCTACACCTATTGTGTACCTAATGGCTCTAGGGGGAGCTAAGGATGGCAATTTGTTAAAAGCATTTATGGCCGGTTTCCCGGACCCAGATTAAGACTAGTCGTGGATTTAAGCCTAGTCTTCCTTACTCATTCTTAGTGGAGAATCTGTATTAAATTAGCCTTTTAGTCCAGGACTGGGCTTAATCTCTGTCCGAGAAACCAACCACTGTTTTGCTCCATTCAGTGGAACTACCTCTGTTTGCACCCTTAGTTAACAGAATTTAGATAATATAAATAATATATGTATAATATGCCATTTAGCAGACGCTTTTATCCAAAGCGACTTACAGTCATGCGTGCATAATTTTTTTTTTGTGTATGGGTAGTCCCGGGGATCGAACCCACTACCTTGGCGTTACAAGCGCCGTGCTCTACCAGCTGAGCTACAGAGGACCACGATGGCATACACACTGTCAATATAACAGGCCATATTATTACCCATATATTATTAGTTATATGGTGACTTAGGCTACTCTTCCTGCATTTAGCCTACTTCCTTTCTTGTTTACATACTTTGTACAGTATGCAGATTGATTGATCACAAGTTACTTCAGTTCTGTAGGGAATATAAAGCGCCGTGGTGGTGGCATCATTCTGTCTCATGTCTAATGTCTCTGAGTCATTCTCTCTCTCTCCCCCTCGCCGACTTATGTCTGCAGGGAGCCTGTGCTGTGTGGTTGACCACTGGAATGTCTTGTTGACTGAACTCTTGTCTCATTGGATATCAGGTCAGATTCCAACCCCATTCAGTCACATACACACACACTTTCCGACAACCTCTTCCGCTCTGGAATGCAGAGGTGACCTCAGCTAATGAGGTCTAGTGCACTAGAAGGTGAAAGACCGTGGGAGGTGGACCTCCATTTTGGAGAGCACGGTGACAGAGGGGATTGGAGGGGACAGTGTCTTACTGTAGAAGGAAAATGTAGTCATACGTACCTATTTTTCTGTCTGTCAACCAGACCATGGCACAGGGCAGTGGGGTCCAGTATGAGCCAGTGGCAGAGATTGGAGGGGGTGCGTACGGAACGGTGTACAAGGCTCGGGACCTGGAGAGTGGCCAGTTTGTTGCTCTGAAGAGCGTTCGCGTCCAGACGGACCAAGATGGCCTCCCCATCTCCACGGTCCGAGAAGTGGCCTTGCTGAAGCGACTGGAGCAGTTTGACCATCCCAACGTGGTCAAGTAAGAACACATTTATTACATTTTTTGTACGATTTTATCTTTTATAAACAATCCAAACGACAACATAATACAAACATCAAATGCATCATGCCTACCCAGACCAACTAGCACACACCCCCATCTCCAGCGCCCGCATCACTTTCCGCCACACGGCCTGAAACTGCACCATTTTGTTTCTCCGTAGCCCACACACTCTCAGTATTTAAATAATAAATCATTGGATTTTTCCATTGTGTTAATGATGGCAGATTGAATGATTTCCACGTTTTTAGTATACGTTTTTTCAAGATGAGTGATGAGAAGAGAATCGTCCAACCCATCGGGTATCTCACTACACCCCCATATGCCATGTCTTGAAATATGCAGACAGGCGGATTAAAAGTATGTTTACATTGTAATACTTCTGACAGCCAACTTTCTAGCTCTGCCCACAACTTCCGGACTTCATAGCTTTCCAGAAAGCATGGATTATTGAGTCATTATTAGTTTTACACTTAAGACATGACTCTGCTGTTGTGCTGTAGAATGTGAATTTTGTCTCTTGTATAATACATTCTATACATTAGTTTATACTGGATTAAGCGTACATTTTCATTAACTGTGATTGTTAGTTATGCTCCAACTTAACATCCATCTTGTGACAACTTCAGTTCTCAAGTCTTGGTTCCAATAGTTTATATTTTTTTCTAAGAGATTGTCAGTTGGATATGCTCTCTGCAAGGTTTTGTATATTTTCCCTATCATATGAACATCCTTTTCTGACTCAAATAAGATTCACTCAAGGTTGCTCAGATGTCCAAAAGATAAAGAATTGTGATATGTAACTTTTAAGTTGCATATATTTGAAACTATCTACATTGGTCAGTCCAAAATTACTTTTGGAAATAAATGTATTTCCTGTTACCAAGTCATTTACAGTTTCTATGACTTTAGTTTTCCATGTGGACCACTTATCTGTGAATTCTGAAAAGCTATCCAATGATTTTTCCATAAGGTTGTGGTTTTAGGAAGTGATATTGGTTAGTGTAGAATACATTTCATTTTCTTCCATATTGTTATAGTAGTGTTCTTAACTATGTTAACTAAGTTGTTAATGTTCTTAGCTTTATCCTTTGAAAATAGACACGTAAAAATATTCTGGGGATGAGCATGCGCATCTTCAATATGTACCCATTGTTCCTCTTTAGTGCATTTAACTATATGTCGCAAGTCTTGGGTTGTGTGTTGATACAATTCCAAGTCAGGAAAGTTAAAATCACCCTCAGACTTAGGAAGATTTAAGACGTTAGTTTTTATTCTATACGTTTTCTTTGTCCATATAAAGTCTTATGACCAAGTGTACTTTTTTAAAGAATGTCTTCAGTGGGGTAATTGTTATTACCGAAAATAAATACAAAAACTTTGGCAGTCATGCCATTCTAAAGAGGTTTTAAGAACACATTTATTCATTGAACCTTTATTTATAGTGATAGTTCATAGATTGTCAGATGTTCTCCAGCCAGAAAAGAGGTCTAGTTTTGAGATTAGTTCACGTCCCACGCCATCTTTTGTGTAGATCTAGGATTAACTGACAAAACCGCATACTCTCACTTTCAACCAGAAAATTGTAGCGGTAAAAGGGGAATGAATGGAATAACGGAAGCAACACACCCATTCACGTTCATTGTTTCCACTTCACACATAATAGCACCTTTTGAAATGCATAAATATGCACACACTCGAACAAACACATTCACACAGTCACAAATGCTTTAATTCACACATTGTGGTGTTTTTGTTGCGACTTGTAGCCTGTGACTTTAGTTTTGACCTGATCACCTGTATCTTGTGCAACCCTACGCCCACATAGCATAATAACTCTGTGGAATGCCTAAAAACTGACTGGTATGTCTATGATAAGCAGGTTCTATAAAGGTTATTAGCTAGCGACTGGCTCACCATGGCATGCCCCGCCTCTCATTCAAATTATGGCGATTGACCATGAGCTTGTCTGTGTATTAAGAGATCCCACACATCAGTGTTTCCCCTGTATTAACTTAGCAGCGGCGCCTCTACATTTACATTTTAGTCATTTAGCAGATGCTCTTTTCCAGAGCGACTTAGTGAGTGCATACATTATTTTTTTTATTTTTTTCATACTGGCCCCCCGTGGGAATCGAACCCACAACCCTGGCGTTGCAAACACCATGCTCTACCAACTGAGCTACATCCCTGCCAGCCATTCCCTCCCCTACCCTGGACGACGCTGGGCCAATTGTGCACCGCCCCATGGGTCTATTCAGTGTTGTTGTGGACGAGCACTAGTTTAAAAGTTGGGAATGTGCGAGATCCATCAAATCAAACCGGCTCCTTGGGAGCGGAGCACCCTCACTGGATTGTATGGAATGAGCATGTCTGTCAGATAAGAGGGGGCAAGGCTATGCAGTGCTTTAAAAGTTAAGAGTAAGATCTTAAAATCAGACTGATACTTTACAGGCAGCCAGTGTAGTGCTGATAAAACTGGAGTGATGTGCTTGTGCCTTCTTGTGTTGGTTAAAATGCGAGCTGCAGTGTTCTGTACAAGTTGTAGGCTTTTAATAGTGGAGTCTGAGCAGCTGGAGATTAAACAAATGCATGGACCAATTTTTTTGCATCTGTTTGAGAGATTAAGTGTCTAATTATGGAAATGTTTTGTTTTGGATATGCTTTTTATGTAGTTGTCAAAAGTGAGGCTGGGGTCAAAGGTGACAGTAAGATTTAACAACCATGTTTGGTGTAATGAGGCAACCATCAATGTTGAGGGTGAGGTCTGACACTGAGTTTCTTGTGGCCAAGTGCCATCATTTCTGTCTTTTCAGAGTTTAAAAGCAAGAAGTTGGTTGTCATAATTATAATTAGAAAAACTTTATTGTCCACGCAATGTGGAAATTTGTCTTTGGCTTCACCACATAAAAACAGACATAAAACGCCATCGTGAGAAAATAATTCTCGATCATTAAATAAACTGTACAAGTACAAAAGCGCTACAGTGCCAGTGTACTGTAACTGTATTTAACATCTGTGATGCACACCTCAAGGCGGGATGACTTTTAAAAGTATTGTCTGGTTTAAAAGAGAAATACAATTGGGTGTCATCAGCATTGCAATGAAAGTGCATGTCATTACCAAGGGGTAGCATGTGTGAAGAAAATAAGGGGTCCAAGCACAGAACCTTGAGGAATGCCAAATTCAACCATGGAAAGTTCAGATGAATTATCACACACACTCTGTATGTGTAAACTGGGCTCATGGACGTGTCTGTGTGTTATGTGTTTGACTGTATGTGTACGCTAGGCTCATTTGTGTGTGTGCGTGTACATCAGGCTCATGGACGTGTGTGCCACTCTGAGGACGGATCAGGAGACTAAAGTCACCCTGGTGTTTGAGCACGTGGACCAGGACCTGAAGACCTACCTAGAGAAGGCCCCCGCCCCAGGACTGCCCTCCAACCGCATCAGAGTAAGAAGCCCCCTCGGGTTCCTGTAAACCATGTTAAATAAACATATTAGGTCCCTGTAAACCATGTTAAAAGGATAGTACATCCTAAACAAATTTTAAATAATATTCTACTTACCTTTGCTGTGTCACTTGACTGGCCCCTGCCCTCTCTATATGGCTGGATATGTTGGACCGTTGTGTGGACCGAGCCTGGTGCACATGTTAAATGTGTCCCCCTGTGTGTGTTAGGACCTGATGCGTCAGTTGCTGTGCGGCCTGTCATTCCTCCACTCGAACCGTGTGGTGCACCGGGACCTGAAGCCAGAGAACATCCTGGTCACCAGCCGTGGTCAGGTGAAGCTGGCCGACTTTGGACTGGCCAGGATCTACAGCTGCCACATGGCCCTCACCCCTGTGGTAGGAACACACACACACACTGGTGGAGAATGGAAAGGGTCTCTGTGCATTCACCATAATGCTTACTTATGCTTTAGTTGGCATAAATATTCATACACATTCATACCTCTCTCCTACTCCCAACTGCCCCTCCATTGATGTCTCTCTCCTCCATGTCTGCCCTAGGTGGTGACTCTGTGGTACAGGCCTCCTGAGGTCCTGCTCCAGTCCACCTACGCCACGCCTGTGGACATCTGGAGCACGGGCTGCATCTTCGCTGAGATGTTCCGACGCAAGTGAGTGGTCAGGGCCAGAGAAGGCTTATTTGACATACTGGGACAATTATTTTAAATACTTTTTTCTCTCTGTATGTTTTATATATATATATATATACTACCAGTCAAAAGAAATAACACATATGGAATCATGTAGTAACCAAAAAAGTGTTAAACAAATTAAAATATATTTTATATTTGAGATTCTTCAAATAGCCACCCTTTGCCTTGATGACAGCTTTGAACACTCTTGGCATTCTCTCAACCAGCTTCATGAGGTAGTCACCTGGAATGCATTTCAATTAACAGGTGTGCCTTCTTAAAAGTTAATTTGTGGAATTTATTTCCTTCTTAATACGTTTGAGCCAATCAGTTGTGTTGTGACAAGGTATACAGAAGATAGCCCTATTTGGTAAAAGACCAAGTCCATATTATGGCAAGAACAGTCCATCATTACTTTAAGACATGAAGGTCAGTCAATCCGGAATATTTCAAGAACTTTGAAAGTTCCTTCACGTGCAGTCGCAAAAACCATCAAGCGCTATGATGAAACTGGCTCTCATGAGGACCGCCACAGGAATGGAAGAACCAGTTACCTCTGCTGCAGAGGATAAGTTCATTAGAGTTACCAGCCTCAGAAATTGCAGCACAAATAAATGCTTCAGAGTTGAAGTCAGACACATCTCAACATCTGTTCAGAGGGGACTGTGTGAATCAGGCCTTCATGGTCGAATTGCTGCAAAGAAACCACTACTAAAGGACCTGCTTGGGCCAAGAAATACAAGCAATGGACATTAGACTGGTGGAAATTTGTCCTTTGAATTGGAGTCCAAATTGGAGATTTTTGGTTCCAACCGCCGTGTCTTTGTGAGTCGCGGTGTGGGTGAACGGATGATCTCTGCATGTGTCGTTCTCACCGTAAAGCATGGAGGAGGTGGTGTTATGGTGTGGGGGTGCTTTGCTGGTGACACTGTCTGTGATTTATTTAGAATTCAAGGGACACTTAACCAGCATGGTTACCACAGCATTCTGCAGCGACCAACAAGTACAGAGTCGTGTTCATTAGTACCCATAGTAGCAAAATGTTTTGCAATAGAAAATAAAAACAACTGTTTCCTATTGGGAAAGTTCAGGTTGTCCCTCCCAAGTGCTCAGCATATGTGGGAACTCCTTCAAGACTGTTGGAAAAGTATTCCAGGTGAAGCTGGTTGAGAGAATGCCAAGAGTGTGCAAAGCTGTCATCAAGGCAAAGGGTGGCTATTTGAAGAATCTCAAATATAAAATATATGTAACACTTTTTTGGTTGCTCCATATGTGTTATAGTTTTGATGTCTTCACTATTATTCTACATTTAGTAAAAATAAAGAAAAACCATTGATTGAGTAGGTGTGTCCAAACTTTTGACTGGTACTGTACATGTTAGTCTGATATTCTAAAAAGATGCCCATTGGATTAATATATGATATCCCACCCAGCAAGTTACCACATTGGAAAGATGGAGCAAGACAAACCTAATTTGTTTCTGGCTGTAGTGTGACAAGCTCTCATTTCTGTGATTATGCTTCCACCATGTGGGAAATAGAAGTATAGCAGCCTACTGCTGTGGCACTGCAATTAACTAGGACTCAGGGATTCTTCTCTTACCATTATGGCTCCTCGCTATCGGCCACACCAGTGTACACAGGGGAGGGTCAGCCCCGGCCCCTGTAATCTCCCACAGACATGGCCATAGGCCAGCACAATAAAATAGGACTATATGGGAGCAGAGAGACAGACGGTACTGCTTGTGTCACAGCAGGGGAAGTTGGCCAACAGCACATTAACCCAAATCCAATCTTTCTCATGTAGACCGTTGTTCTCTGGAGACTCTGAAATGGACCAATTGGGAAAGATATTCAAGTGAGTATGGGCAGAAATCTCCTCTGCTGTATCCCAAATGGCACCCTATTCTATATAGTGCACTACTTTTGACCAGGGCCTATAGGGTGCAATTTGGGACCCAGTCATCGCCACTTTGGATCAGTCTAACTTCTGTTGATTCTTTCTGAAACACTTATCTGACTGGTTGGCTTGTTCCTTCCTGTCTGCTATTCCACAGTGTGATTGGCCTGCCACCCGAGGAGGAGTGGCCTGCCGATGTCACCCTCTCACGACACAACTTCAGTCCTATCAGCCCACGCCCAATCACAGACTACGTTCCTGAGATCAATGAGCAGGGGGCAGAGCTGCTTTTGGTGAAACTTTTTGGTTTTCTAACCAGCTGTGGGGTGTATTCTGTTTGGTGGAAAAAAAACTTGGGGGGGGCGTTGAAATGGTAGAATTGTGAATGTGAATCGTGGCCAAAAGTATATTTATTTACCCGGACCAACACCTGTAAAAGCTATGATTAATGAAATAAAGATATGGAGGTATACAAGATAGGACTTTTAATTGCTACTTGAGTCACATTTGTAAACCTATCCGTTCTGTTTGTTCCCACAGAAAATGCTAACCTTTGACCCTCTAAGAAGAATCTCTGCCCTAAACGCTCAAGAACATCCTTACTTCCAGGAGGATGAGGAGGAAGTGACAAATGGTTGAAATGCAGTGAATGACATCGAAGGATGGGACCGTGAGGAATGGTAACCCTGACTCCATTTAGGTGTATATTGTCATTCAGTGCATTTCAGGCCAGATCCCTGTTGTGGTTCCTTTATTTTAAATGTTTAATGTTACTACAGAAGCCAGTTGCACCCCTTTGAGAATGTATAAGAGTGGAGAAGTGGGGTTTGAGGACCAATACGGATATGAACCTGAAGAAGGATCGACTCTCCTCTCATTCCCCAAATGAATTCCCCAGCCTGGTCTCATAGACTAGACGTAAAATAGTAAATGTAAAAACGACACACTCAAATTTGTGTGATATATTACGTTTGATATGGTTACATAAGACCGATGGTTACTTAAGGCAAAAATGAAAAGGTTGAGAGTTCAAATCTCATCACGAACAACTTAAGCATTTGAGCTAATTAGCAACTTGAACTACTTACTACTTTTTAGCTACTTTGCAACGACATAGCATGGTAACTAACCCTAACCTTTTTAGCTAACCCTTCCCCAAACCTTAACCCTTCCCCAAACCTTAACCCTTCCCCCAACTCTTAAACTTAACCCTAACCCCTAGCCTAGCTAACATTGGGCACCTAGTTAATGTTAGCCACCTAGCTAGAATTCGTAACATATCATACATTTTGTCAATTCGAAACATACTGTACGTTTTGCAAAATCGTAACATATAATACGAATTGCAATTCGTAACATATCATAATGAAATGGGTGATGGACATCCACAAATTAATACATACCATACAAAACGTAACACATCATACTAAATGGAGTGTCTCAGATTTACTTACAGAATAATACGAAATGCTCTGAGACCAGGTTGCCAGCACACACACACACACACACACATGGAATAACTGTCCTCCTGAGGGGTTATTTTAATATATTATAGCTTAAAAGGTCCAATGCATACATTTTTATTACAATATAACATATTTTCTGTTTTACAATTGAAGTACTTTGCTGTGATTCTCCCCCCCCCTCTCAAAACTGTAAAAAATAAACCAAAATAGCTTCTTAGCATAGAGCAACTTTTTAAGCAAGAATTTTGCTACGACTGTCGGAGTACTTTGAGTGGGGATGGAAAAACTGAAAAGTAGCTGTTATTGGCAGAGAGGTTTGGAACTCTTTCTTATTGGTCTATTAACAAATGTACCTCCTGGTGATGTCACCAGGTAGGCCAAAATTCCATCCCACCAAAATAGGCAGACATTTCAGGCTCTTACACTTTCACAGCTCTTACACTAAAAGGGCATTATTATTTTCACACTTTCACAGTATTATTCCAACCTCTGTGTGGAAATATATATAGAACACTGGAAAATCACATTGACTGTACTGGGCCTTTAACAATGTTTTTTTCCCTACTTTTTTTCGCACATGGAAGTACACAGTAGCTAAGTGGCATTTGTTGAACAGGTTTACGGGCCAAAGAATGTGTTGTTCTGTACCAAGCATCCCTCCCTTTCATTCCAAGAACACCTTGCAATGTTTCAGTGCTGCAAAGACTAATAAAGCTGCTCCAATCATCAACTAAAACAGGCGTTTCTAATCATACCTTTTATATACCAGAAATGCCCTAGATGTTATTGGGAAACGCATTTTCTGTCCCTCGTTTTCAGTTTTTCTTGGATCATTCAAAGTCTGTTTTTAAGAAATGTCTCATTCTTGTACGCTAATTTGTTTATTTTATCTGAAATGACTACAGGTTCACATCAACTCGGAGAAGCGAGGAATGAAAGGACTGTACAGTACAACTCTTGAATCATGACATTTAATAGGAAAGTTGTTGTAGCAGAAAAGGAAACATTAAGGTTCAGCAAGTAATCAAGTCCACAGTGGGTTGAAAGGCAGGTACAACAGCAGAAGGAACAAGTGTGAGAGATAAGGACAGTCCTAAATGACATCATATTCTGTGTATAGTGCGCTACTTTAGACCAAGGTCCATAGAGCTCTGTGCCCGGTTTCACAATAGCAATGGAACTGATGCCCTGTTTACATCCTGATGTATTATGCTGTACGTCATCTTCACAGAGTCTTGCCCCGCTACTGAACGGACAAGTGTAGTGTTTGTAACGCAAGATGGAGGAGAGATTGCATTTATTTTTGGGAGATTGCAAAATATGACCTTATCATTCAAGACAGGGTAAATATATTGTTTCAGGTGATAACTTGTTTTGTTTAACTTTGTCCTCAACTTGTTTCTTTAACTTTATAGTAAGTCTAGCTTGCACTGCAGAGCAGCTAGCTAGGCTAGGTTGAAAATACCACTGTAGCTAGCGACCTCCACCTAATTATTATCATAAAAAACAAACGTCATTACCATCACAATAAACTTAAATGGGAGGCAACAGTCCTATAATATAATTTGCTTAACAGCCAATGTGTATTTAACATTACTATTAAAATAGTACTCACTTATCGGAATGGGTAATTGTTTACAAGTTGCTAGCAATCCCATAAAGCCATCACCAAAAAACACATTTTCATCTTCTGTGGTTTGGTAACTTCCTGTTCTTCGATGGACTAGCTAGTGGAAAGACGGCATAACGGAGCCTTCAACTGCAAGAGGGCGTTGCGATTCAAAAGCCTCTTCGCATTACCCATAAGCACTCCGCTACGTTGCCCCAGATGTCATGCATTTCAGTGGGTACGTCCACAACGGAGTGGAAACGCAACACCCCCTTGTTAAATAATACACATTGGCTGCTAAGCCAATTTATATTATGACTGTTGCCTCCCGTTTAAATTTGTGACGGTAATGACGTTTAAAAAATATATATATATATATATTTGATGGAGGTCGCTAGCTACAATGATATCTTCAACCTAGCCTAGCTAGCTTGACTTGCTATAAAATTTGAGAAACAAGTTGAGGAAAAGAACTAAACAAAAACATGTTAATTATCACCTGAAACAATATATTTATTCTGTCTTGAATGAAAAGGTAATATTTAGCAATCTTGTGTTACAAACATTACACTTGTCCGTTCAGTAGCAAGGCAAGACTGCGTGAAGATGTAAACGGGGCATTAGGCTTTGAGTGTTTTAACGATGCATCTTTCCTACAACAGCCGAAGATGTAACATGCATTTTCCAAAACACCACACAGAGAATGTCATTGGAGCATGTGTCAATACTGATAGGATCGAAAGAAAGGGAGCACTGCGCTCAGATCAGCTTTCTACATTCAAATCTTTCCATAACATGATTTCACAATACTGACGACGGATCAACTCCTAGAGAGATATTACCGCCTACGGCTGCAAATATTGGGGCGGGCTTATTCTAATTCTTTCCTGATTTAAAAATGTATTAAATCACTGATTTGGAACATCATTGCTCGTGTTAGGCTACGCATGAAATATAATGAGACAAATTATAGACAGCCTCGATTGAACATGAACGTATTTCAATATGATTGCAATAGGCCTACTGTTTATTTTAATGCAGTCACCTCGGTTTTCATTTGAAGCATTTTATACGTTGCTTGTTTGTATCAATTGCAAAGTAATTGCCGACTTTATAGTCGACTTTGTTCTGAAGTTATCAGCGGTCACAGAGGTACGGATAAACATTTTACATTTACATTTTCGTCATTTAGCAGACGCTCTTATCCAGAGCGACTTATAAACCATGTGGTTCTATGTTTAGCAGAGATCTTCTGTGTATAAAGTGAGGCGGGAGGGCAAAAAAATAATCTAACGGCGCACTTAACTGTTCTACAAATGGTCTGAGGCAGGCGTTAGATTACACTCGTTTTCAAGTGCAATGTTAATAACGATGGTTTTGGGAAACGGCAAGGAGATTTAACGATGAATTTAGCAATAAGATGTGTTTGGGAAACCGGGCCCTGGTCAAAAGTAGTACACTATATAGGGAATAGGGTGCCATTTGGGTCACATAGACAGAGATAGGCAACAAGAAGCTGAGACATTGCCGCAATCCAGAACAGGAAGTCAATGCCAGGGCTGAGCCCGCCCTCGTCAGGACAGATGTGAGTCATTCTGTCAATCATGGTTAAACTTCAGGGGAAGTAAGACCTTTCAAATGTTTAGGGTCAAAACAAATGAAGTGAGAGCGTTGATTCCGAGAATGAGAAGTGGCAGCAGTCTCGGAGCCTTTGGAAGCTCAGCGTCACTGATTCTTAGACTGCGTTTAGACAGGCAGCCCAATTCTGATTTTCACTCATTGGTCTGTTGACCAATCAGATTAGCTCTGAAAAAGATCTGATGTGATTTGTCAAAAGACCAAATAGTGGAGAAAGAAAAAATCAGATTTGGGCTGCCTGTGAAAACGCAGCCTAAGTGACAGCTAGGGGACTGTCTGAACATACTAACTCCAACCCACTGCTGTGCAGAGGTACTGTGCAACCAAGGGCTTTTAGCAGGGTTACCATCAAGTGCAGTACTTAATACTGAATGGAACTCGTTGCTCTAAAAAAGTGACTAGTCACCGGTATGCTAAGTATTTAGACAGGTGGTTAAAAGCCATATCCCTAGATAGGGTCAATTAGACCAGGGGTTCTTAAAACTTTTCAGCCTGGGACCCAAATGAGAAATTCAGTGTTTTCCTGGGACCCAAGCTCATGAAAATATGCCTCATGTGGGGGTCCTAAGCGAGATTTGGTTAGGAGGCCCTCCCCACTGCGGGCAAAACATTTTAGTGGCACCGCTCTTGACAGTGGAGAGAAATGTTAAGTGTTAAAGTTAATTTCCTGCAGTTCTACCCATTTTGCCATGATGTAAGCCATGTTAATATATCTGAGTGAGTGCCTTTATTATTGTTATTTATTTTTTACATGTCCTGACCCATATCTTTAAGAAAGGCTGAAATAGACAGTGGTGGAAAAAGTACCCAATTGTCATACTTAAGTAAAAGTAAAGATACCTTAATAGAAAATGGCTGAAGTAGAAGTGAAAGTCACCCAGTAAAATACTACTTGAGTAAAAGTCGAAGTATTTGGTTTTAAATATACTTAAGTATCAAAAGTAAATGTAATTGCTAAAATATACTTTAAGTATCAAAAGTATAAATAATTTCAAATTCCTTATATTAAACAAAACCAGGCGCACCATTCTTGTTTTTTTTATTTGCGGATAGCCAGGGGCACTCTCCAACACTTGGACATAATACAAATAAAGCTTGTGTTTAGCCAGATCAGAGGCAGTAGGGATGACCAGGGATGTTCTCTTGATAAGTGTGTGAATTTGACAATTTTCCTTTCCTGCTTACCATTCAAAATGTTATGAGTACTTTTGGGTGTCAGGGAAAATGTATGGAGTAAAAAGTACATTATTTTCTTAAGGAATGTAGTGAAGTAAAAGTTTCTAAAATATAAATAGTAAAGTACAGATACCCATAAAAAACTACTTAAATAGTATTTTCAAGTATGTTTTACTTAAGTACTTTACACCTTTGGAATTAAACCATTAGCAAATTATTTCCTCCAATGACAGGCAAATAAATAAGGTAATAAAAAAAAAGAGTGCCGCTAGAAAAACACTTTCAGGTTAATTACAAAACAATTACACACAACAAAGGAAATACAATTGTTGGAAACATGATAAATACAGAATTCACCTCAGGTTTTTGCACAGATTGAAGGATCATAAGTGAGTAAACATTTTTCCACAATGTTTGAAATGGTTATCAGTGTCAATTTATTTGAAGGCAGGTAGTGGAACACCACTTTAACCAAGCTAGATCATCCAAAAACGTTGCTGTGTATTGTAATTCTCAATTTCCCTTTCATTATACATTACTAATCAATTCCATTCAAAGCTTCAAGTTCATTTTAATTATCCAGATTACAGTGTGTCTACTTTTGAGAGACTACCTGACTGGCTGCAATTCTTATCATGTCAAAAACAATAACTACTCTCTTGGCATTTCTTGGTCATCAACATGAATATACAAGAAGCTTGTTGTCTGAGGCATCCCTGTAGGCTTCCTGCCAACCACTCGCTCTCAATCATCCCCCTTTTCCAGGCTGTGATACCACACTGGCACTGTTGGAGGCGGCCCAAACCCTCTTACTTAAATTAAGGAATGTGTGACAACTATCAACGCTGGCGAACAGAACACAATGAATGAACACAAGAAATATGTAAAAAATGACCTAGCTCTATGTCTAGAGAAAGAATTGAGGCGAGTGTGCATATGAGGACATGGTAAGGTGAGATTGGAGAAAGACTTGTTGCTTTTCCCAGAGTATCTCCACAAAGGCATTATCCCAAGTACTGATTTACTCTGGTGGTTGGGATGAATTGTTTAGTGACCACTTTCATTCAGTGTCAAAGCCCTCCTTTAGTGTCTATACTGCTGCAATAAAAACAAATAAATGTAAACAAACACTATATAGCCCCAAAATATGCATGTCATTTTGATATCTTGGATGGTCAGACCTTGCATCAATAGCTATATCTATGAATTTAAGAGTAATACAATTTCTCCAGGCCCATCCCTCAGATTTTTACAAAAACAGAGGCGGAGTGGCACTTTGTTTTAACTGCGGATTGCCCCTTTACCTCCCTTCATTAAATCGCTTAATGGTGTTTTAGTGCAAAAGGAGAGAAATGCCGCTATAGACTTTCCCAATTCAGTATCACCTCTTAATCAATAGTTTGTCACAAAATATACTTCCCACCCAAGGCATTAACTTGACATTATCTATATGCCACCCCTTTCTTTGTAAATAAATATTGATGGCCACAAACCACACACAAATACCTTTTTTTAAACCTCTACGGGATCGGTGTCCCGTATACGGGACGGTTGAGCTAACGTGCGCTAATGTGATTAGCATGACTGTTGTAAGTAACAGCAAACTTTCCAGGACAAAGACATGATTTATATGGGCAGAAAGCTTAAATTCTTGCACTGTCCAATTTACAGTAGCTATTACAGTGAAAAAATACCATGCTATTGTTTGAGGTGCACAACAACAAAAAACGTATCACGGCAACTGGTTTGATACATTCACCTCTGAAGGTAAATAATGTACTTATATTCAGTAATCTTGCTCTGATTTTTCATCCTAAGGGTCCCAGAGATAAAATTTAGCATAGTTTTGTTTGATAAAATCAATTTTTATATTCAAATGTAGGAACTGAGTTCTACAGTTTGAACCCCTGCTGTCTCTGGCTCCACACCCACCCCGCCCGGCCATCTAGATGTGTGAAAGTTAGTGTATAAGCTAATGATCCATCATGTATGACATTCCTGGGAGTGTGTAAACTTACATTTTGTATTACCATATCATTTTTGTATGTTCTCTATAGTTATGTACTTTAAAATGTATCAATTGACCAATTCCGCACATTTGGGCAGACTTGATACAAAATAGTCCAGTATTGCAATGCTTCACTGGAGCAATCTGAAACTTTCACTGCTGCCATCTAGTGGCCAAAATCTAAATTGCACCTAAACTGCAATATTATATTGTGGCCTTTCTCTTGCATTTCAAAGATGACCAAAAAAAAAAAATATGCATGTTTTTTTGTTATGTATTATTTTTTTACCAGATCTAATGTGTTATATTCTACATTAATTTCACATTTCCACAAACTTCAGTGTTTCCTTTGAAATGGTATCAAGAATATGCATATCCTTGCTTCAGGTCCTGAGCTACATGCAGTTAGATTTGGGTATGTCATTTTAGGCGAAAATTGAAAAAAAGGGTCCGATCCTTAAGAGGTTAAGCAACAAAAGATACACAGAAGTTTATATAAAATCAGCACAACTGCAACACTTTCTGTGGCATAGACAAAACCTAAAATTCTAAAAGATTTTGGTGAAAAAAAGATTATCTGCATGTCACCACACACAGTGCAATGCGGGTAGTTGGTGCTCAGGGTTCTGTGTCTGATCTACCCACATCAGACAGACAGAGGGCTAGGGGGCTCCGACCGGGGTGGTTCTCAACCGGTTTGGTCCCAGGGACCAACAAGTACAGGGTCGTGTTCATTAGTACCCATAGTAGCAACAGAAAATAAAAACAACTCTTTCCTATTGGGAAAGTTCAGGTTGTCCCTCCCAAGTGCTCAGCATATGTGGGAACTCCTTCAAGACTGTTGGAAAAGCATTCCAGGTGAAGCTGGTTCAGAGAATGCCAAGAGTGTGCAAAGCTGTCATCAAGGCAAAGGGTGGCTATTTGAAGAATCTCAAATATAAAATATATTTTGATTTGCTTTTTTAGTTACTACATGATTCCGTACATGTTATTTCATAGTTTTGACATCTTCACTATTCTACAATGTAGAAAATAGCACAAAATAAAGAAAACCCCTTGAATGAGTAGGTGTTCTAAAACTTTTGACCGGTAGTGTATATGTGCATTTATGGATGAATGAGTGAGTGTTGTGTGTATTTGCTTGTAGTGAGTCTGGGTATTTCCTGACCTCTGTGAAGCTGAAGAAGAGTCCCACTCCACCCAGGATCTTCAGGGCCTCCGCAGCGTGTTGTAGCATCATGTCCCCACAGGTGAAACCCGGTCAACTTACAGGACCACACACACACACACACACTCACAGAGGGAGAGAAAGCCTTCAATAAAGACTATAATAACATAAAGCCAGGAAGACCACGGCAGGTAGCTTAGTGGGTAAGAGCGTTGTGCCAGTAACCGAAAGGTCGCTGGTTCTAATCCCCGAGCCGACTAGGTGAAAAATCTGTCGATGTGCCCTTGAGCAAGGCACTTAACTCTAATTGCTCCTGTAAGTCGCTCTGGATAAGAGCGTCTGCTAAATGACTAAAATGTAAATGTAAAATGTACAACTGCAATTGCATAATGAGCAAAAGGCCAACCATAGGATTACAGTCTACATTACATACAAAGAGATATTGAAATCTACTTTCTTTCTACCCATGGCAGGCAGTCCAGTGCTGGTTTTGCTCTTTGACCCATAATGGTTAAGGTTAAGATGGGTGGGGAGAGTTGTTGAGGGCAGAGACTAACCAGATTGGCTAAAACCACATGCAGAGAAAAAGGCTAAGAGCAGAGAGAGCAGGGGACATTTTGGGGTCAGAAACCACACATGCTTTCTTAATGGACTTTGCAAATGAACAAAGTATTTTATTTTTTAATACAGGAAATCTGCTGGTATGTACACACTGCCTAGAAGAGATGGAACTGTTCCCTGGACCAAGACCATTAAACACGAGGTGAGTGACACGCATTGGTATCTGTGTGTCTCCCTCACCGCTTGGCAGAGCTTCACATCCTTGTTGGAACTGCTCCTGGCTCTGGGTGGTGTTCAGCATCCCACAGCAGTTCAGCTTGGTCCACCTCCTGCCGCGGGTCATTGCTCATCAACCTCCAGGTAGCGTTCAACAGCTTCACCTGGGTTGTAGACTAAACAAACACATACACAGTTGAGGACAGGGACAGGAATGCTGCAGAATGGCAGAGACAGCAAAACACAAGGCAAGAGAAGACCACACAGCCATTCAGTTTATTAGGTACACTACCCCGTTCACAAAAATGGTTCGCTCCTACAGACAGTGAGTCATGTGGCCGTGGCTTGTTATATAAAGCAGGCAGACAGGCATTGTGGCATTCAATTACTGTTTGATTGAACGTTAGAATGGGCAAAACAAGTGACGTAAGAGACTTTGAGCGTGGTATGATTGTCGGTGCCAGGCAAGCCGGTTCCATTATCTCAGAAACGGCCGGCCTCTTGGCTTTTCACAGATGACAGTGTCTAGGGTTTACCAAAAATGGTACGGCAAACAAAAAATATCCAGTCAACAGCACTCCTGTGGGTGAAAACAGCTTGTTGATGAGAGGTCGAAGGAGAATGGCAAGAATCGGGCACGCTAACTGACGGGCCACAAACAGGCAAATAACGGCGCAGTGGTGTGCAGAACGACATCTCGGAATGCACAACTCGTCTGTCCTTGTCATGGATGGGCTATTGCAGCAAACAACCACACTGGGTTCCATTTCAATCAGCTGAAAACAAGAAGAAGCAGCTCCAGTTGGCACACGATCACCAACACTGGACAATTGAGAAGTGGAAAAACATTGCCTGGTCCGACGAATCCCGGTTCCTGTTGCGTCAGGCTGATGGCAGAATCAGAATTTGTCATAAGCAGCCCCATGAGTCCACGGCCCCATCCTGCCTGGTGTCAAGGGTACAGGCTGGTGGCGGTGGTGTGGGGAATGTTTTCCTGCCACACGTTAGGTCCCTTGATACCAATTGAGCAATGATTCCATGCCCCAAAGAATTCAGGCTGTTCTGGAGGCAAAGGGGGGTCTGACCCAGTACTAGAATGGTGTACCTAATAAACTATATATGGAGAGAAGTGTCCAATAAGAAAAGACAAAGATTTAAAAAAAAAGTGGCCATAAGATACACTGAACAAAAATATAAACGCAACATGTAAAGTGTTTGTCCCATGTTTCATGAGCTGAAATAAAAGATCCCAGAGATCTTCCATACGCACAAAAAGTGTATTTCTCTCAAATGTTGTGTACACATTTGTTTACATCCCTGTTAGTGAGCATTTCTCCTTTGCCAAGATAATCCATCCACCTGACAGGTGTGGCATATCAAGAAGCTGATTAAGCCGCATGATCATTACACAGGTGCACCTTGTGCTGGGGACAATGAAAGGCCACTATAAAATGTGCTATTCTGTCTCACAACATAATACCACAGATGCCTCAAGTTTTGAGGGAGCGTGCAATTGGCAGGCTGACTGCAGGAATGTCCACCAGAGCGGTTGCCAGAGAATTGAATGTTTATTTCTCTACCATTAGCCACCTCCAACGTCATTTTAGAGAATTTGGCAGTATGTCCAACCGGCCTCACAACCGTTGTGTGGGCGAGCGGTTTGCTGATGTTAACGTTGTGCCCCATGGTAGTGGTGGGGTTATGGTATGGGCAGGCATAAGCTACAGACAATGAACACAAATGCATTTTATTGATTGCAAATTGAATGCACAGAGATACCTTGACAAGACCCTAAGACCCATTGTCGTGCCATTCATCCGCCGCCATGTTTGGGATGCTCTGGATCGACGTGTACGACAGAGTGTTCCAGTTCCCGCCAATATCCAGCAACTTCGCACAGCCATTGAAGAGGAGTGGGACAACATCACACAGGCCACAATCAACAGCCTGATCAACTTTATGTGAAGGAGATGTCACACTGCATGAGGCAAATGGTGGTTACACCAGATACTGACTGGTTTTCTGATCCATGCCCCTACCTTTTTTTAAGGTATCTGTTACCAACAGATGCATATCTGTATTCCCAGTCATCTGAAATCCATAGATTAGGGACTAAATGCATGTCAATTGACTGATTTCCTTATATGAACTGTAACTCAGCAAAATCTTAGCAATTGTTGCATATTGCGTTTATATTTTTGTTCAGTATAGAAAACAGGAGCTGGGAGAAAGCAAAATGACAAGCACATTGACTCAGAGGTAAAGTGATAGAACACACACAGACCTGCTGTCCCTGGTCAATGGCCAGGCAGGAGCAGGACACGCCAAACTGAAAGAGGATCACCAGGAATAGAATGACCATGTACTGAGATAGGAGCAGTCAAGGAACCAGACCAACACTCAAAGGCTGCACACACAGACAGAGAATGCATTTTTACTAATGACCCATATTCAGTCAAGTAAAACGAACCTCTCACAGTGACCCATACCAAAGCCTGTTGGAACATTACACACCATCTCTGCCCATACTGGTATGAATAGGGCTGACAGTGAATATATTTTTTAACTACATTATTGTATTGTTTTATTGTAAAGTGTGTTGCGATTTTAAATGCACTTTAAATAAAAGGATACCAAGTAGAGCATGACTTGGTGGTGGTTGAGGGCTCCGATGAGGCCCACGATGGAACTGAGCAGTAGGAAGATGCCCACAGCGATGGCCTCGCCGATGATGTGGATGCTGAACACGATGCCGTAGCCTTTCCCCCACTCTGGAGAGCTTCACACCTCAAATGACACACGCACAGTCTATTTCTAGTTGTTATAGGTATGTGGTTGACATTACAGAGACAATTCTGTTGCCTATGTTTACTGATTCACAAGGGCTGAGACATAGCTAGTTACCTGTCAACAGAATCAGCTATGTCCTCTGAAAGTATAAAGCGAGGCCATATCTGATGCCCTTTGTGAATAGGTAAAAATACAATCAAATGTTCATTAGCGTAACGTAGCTAGCTACCCTTTTGCCATGTTTATACCTGACACTCACACAATTCAAGTCAATCATCAAGTCAATCATCAGAGGAAGATGGCGCCGGAGGAGATGGCTGCCGTTTTATGGCCCCCTAACCAATTGTGCTATTGTGTGTTTTTTCACATTATTTGTAATTTATTCTGTACATAATGTTTCTGCCACCGTCTCATTTGACCAAAAAGAGCTTCTGGATATTAGGACAGCAATTACTCACCTCGTATTGGACGAATATTTTTTCTTCAAAGAGTCGGACATTCTACAGACACCCAACAAGGCCCAAATCCCCATCATTTTTTATTTTACCTTTATTTAACTAGGCAAGTCAGTTAGGAACAAATTCTTATTTACAATGACGGCCTACACCGGCCAACCCGGACGATGCTGGGCCAATTGTGCGCCGCCCTATGGGACTCCCAATCACGGCCGGTTGTGATACAGCCTGGAATCGAACCAGGGGGTCTGTAATGACGCCTCAAGCACTGAGATGCAGTGCCTTAGACCGCTGCGCCACATGAGAAAGAGACAGAGATATCATGGGTATAGGTCGGGGTGCCTTGTAAGGATCCGACGGCGAGCAAGTAATCTGCCTCTTCCATCAGTACTATTAGCCAACGTACAATCATTGGAAAACAAAATGGACAACCTAAGATCAAGGATATCCTACCAACGGGACATTAAAAACTGTAATATCTTATGTTTCACCGAGTCGTGGCTGAACAACGACATGGATAACATACAGCTGGCGGGATATACGCTGCATCGGCAGGATAGAACGGCTGACTCCGGTAAGACAAGGGGTGGCGGTCTGTGTATATTTGTAAACAACAGCTGGTGTACGAAATCTAATACTAAGGAAGTCTTTAGGTTTTGCTCGCCTGAGGTAGAGTATCTCATGATAAGCTGTAGACCACACTATTTACCAAGAGAGTTTTCTATATTTTTCGTAGCTGTCTATTTACCACCACAAACCGATGCTGGCACTAAGATTGCACTCAATGAGCTGTATAAGGCCATAAGCAAACAGGAAAATGCTCATCCAGAGGCAGCGCACCTAGTGGCCAGGGATTTTAATGCAGGGAAACTTAAATCCGTTCTACCTCATTTCTACCAGCATGTTAAATGTGCAACCAGAGGGAAAAAAACTCTAGACCACCTTTACTCCACACAAAGCTCCACACAAAGCTCTCCCTCGCCCTTCATTTGGCAAATCTGACCATAATTCTATCCTCCTGATTCCTGCTTATAAGCAAAAACTAAAGCAGGAAGCACCAGTGACTTGGTTAATAAGGAAGTGGTCAGATGATGCAGATGCTAAGCTACAGGACTGTTTTGCTAGCACAGACTGGAATATGTTCTGGGATTCTTCCAATAGCATTGAGGAGTACACCACATCAGTCACTGGCTTCATCAATAAGTGTATCGATGACGTCGTCCCCACAGTGACCATACGTACATACCCCAACCAGAAGCCATGGATTACCGGCAACATCCGCACTGAGCTAAAGGGTAGAGCTGCCGCTTTCAAGGAGCGGGACTCTAACCCAGACGCTTATAAGAAATCCCACTATGCCCTCCGACGAACCATCAAACAGGCAAAGAGTCAATACAGGACTAAGATTGAATCGTACTACACCTGCTCTGATGCTCGTCTGATGTGGCAGGGCTTGAAAACTATTACAAACTACAAAGGGAAACACAGTCACGAGCTGCCCAGTGACACAAACCTACCAGACGGGCTAAATCACTTCTATGCTCACTTCAAGGCAAGCAACACTGAAGCATGCATGAGAGCATCAGCTGTTCCGGATGACTATGTGATCACGCTCTCCGTAGCCGATGTGAGTAAGACTTCTAAACAGGTCAACATTCACAAGGCCGCAGGGCCAGACGGATTACCAGGATGTGTACTCCGAGCATGCGCTGACCATCTGGCAAGTGTCTTCACTGACATTTTCCACATGTCCCTGACTGAGTCTGTAATACCAACAGGTTTCAAGCAGACCATCATAGTCCCTGTGCCCAAGAACACTAAGATAACCTGCCTAAATAACCACCGACCCGTAGCACTCACATCTGTAGCCATGAAGTGCTTTGAAAGGCTGGTCATGGCTCACATCAACACCATTATCCCAGAAACCTTAGACCCACTCCAATTTGCATACTGCCCCAACAGATCCACAGATGATGCAATCTCTATTGCACTCCACACTGCCCTTTCCCACCTGGACAAGATGAACACCTACGTGAGAATGCTATTCATTGACTACAGCTCAGCGTTCAACACCATAGTGCCCTCAAAGCTCATCACTAAGCTAAGAACCCTGGGACTAAACACCTCCCTCTGCAACTGGATCCTGGACTTCCTGACGGGCCGCCTCCAGATGGTAAGGGTAGGTAACAACACATCTGCCAAACTGATCCTCAACATGGGGGCCCCTCAGGGGTGCATGATCAGTCCCCTCCTGTACACCCTGTTCACCCATGACTGCATGGCCAGGCACGACTCCAACACCATCATTAAGTTTGCCGACGACACAACAGTGGTAGGCCTGATCACCGACAATGACGAGACAGCCTATAGGGAGGAGGTCAGAGACCTGGCCGTGTGGTGCCAGGACAACAACCTCTCCCTCAACGTGATCAAGACAAAGGAGAGGATTGTGGACTACAGGGAAAAAAAGAGGACTGAGCACGCCCCCATTCTCATCGACGGGGCTGTAGTGGAACAGGTTGAGAGCTTCAAGTTCTTTTGTGTCCACATCACCAACAAACTATCATGGTCCAAACACACCAAGACAGTCGTGAATAGGGCATGACAACACCTTTTCCCCCTCAGGAGACTGAAAAGATTTGGCATGGGTCCTCAGATCCTCAAAAAGTTATACAGCTGCACCATCGAGAGCATCCTGACTGGTTGCATCACCGCCTGGTATGGCAACTGCTCGGCCTCCGACCGCAAGGCACTACAGAGGTTAGTGCGTACGGCCCAGTACATCACTGGGGCCAAGTTTCCTGCCATCCAGGACCTCTTTTGACACAGCAGTCTTAAAATGGACTGCTACCTTGAATTCAACATTAAGATGTCAAAACATTTAAACTCCAATTGAACTCTGTCTGTGACATTTTCTGACATCTTATTTTCCTCTCTCTCTCTCTCTCTCTCTCTCTCTCAATCCAGTTGTTCTCAGGAGACAGGTCAGTGTGTGTAGAGAGAACACATTTGACCAGGTAGAGTCAGGCTTGTACTTCATCGCCCTGGACCACTACACCAATAAGGCAGAGACATCAAGTTTGGACCAGTTAGCCACCAACTAATCTTATGCCTTACACAACTCGGCACATGTATCGTTCCACCTTCCTCAAACTCCAGTGCCATACTTTTGTTGACCTTTTTACCAATGTCTATGGGTTGTACAAGGATATTAAATTGGGATTTGGACTTCATACTAAATCTAATTCCACCTGCCCTCTCTATAGATTATGTTGATGCCCCACTGTAAGAACCTGGAGATCTTCACTGGTTCTGAGGGAGATGACGTGGCCACAAACAGTGCCTGGGACACTTTCCAGTGCTCCCGCTGTCTAGAGAACAGCCAGAGAGTGGTCAAGACATCTGCCGCAACTTCATCTACAGTCATGTATGCTTAAATATACTTGTATGCTCATTTATGTGTTTCTTAAAGCGGCAATCAGCAGTTGAAACAATAAGGCTTTCTCCCCACCCGTTTCGTAAAAAGCTGAGGGATGGGGCTGGAGAAATGTAACAACTATCAAATTAATAGACAGCTATGGATGCAAGGACTGACCATTGTGCTTTCTTCTAAAACTCCATTGGAGGAGACGACCCAAGGTTCCTCGCCTCCGACCTCCTCCAATGGGTTTTGAGGATGCGAGTAGAGCGGAAGTGAGGAGCAGATATTAATTGGGATAGAGCTCATGTCATTGTTTTAGGTGGAATCTTATGTTGAATGATACATGTATTCTGTTTGCACTTATATCTTTGTTCTACTTGTGCTCTTTCCAAAGATGGCTTGCTGATAACATCTGATCTGATGAGACTCCCTATGTGATTTGACTCCTCTATTACTGACTATTAAATAAAACTTTAAATGCCAAATATAAATAATTTGGGATTCTGTAATTGATAGACGACGGCTGTTCCCAATCAGACAATTACTATAAAACAAATCTGTTTTCCTCAGTGCAATGTTTGGTGAATGCATGGTGTTGTTTTGTCCTCAGTCTTCCTTTGAATGCTGTGTGTACTGATTCAGTTCTAAACGACCATCATCAAGTCCATCCTCACTGCAACGGATTGTCGTGTCTGCTGAGAAGGTAATTGGCTGCCACCTGGCCTCCATCGAGGTCCTGCATGACTTCCGAGCAAGGAAGCATGCAGGAAAGATAATCGCCGACCCCTTCAGCCCCCTCTTCCAAAGACTCTGGCAAATGGTTCAGGTCAATCACGACCAAAACCTCCCACCAACTGAACCGTTTCTTCCCCCGTGGCATGGCCCTCACCAACCTTCCACCTGGTCCTCTGATCCATGGATTTTGCACTATTCATCCACAGACTATGCATGCTGCACTATCATCCCAGAACTGCACATTGCACTCTCTGCACATCTCTTATATGCATAATTTAGCTCATTTGTTTAGATTTTAGTAGACAAAAGTGCCTCGCTCAAGGGCACAGACACATTTTCACAGTCGGCTTCTGATTCGAACTAGTGACCTTTCGGTTACTGGCCCAACGCTCTTAACCACTAGGCTACATGCCGCTTATAGTGTTCATAGTGTACAGTGCATTCAGAAAGTATTTAGACCCCTTGACTTTTTCCACATTTTGATACGTTACAGCCTTATTCTAAAATGAATTAAATCAACTTTTTTCCTCATCAATCTACACACAATACCCCATAATCACAAAGTGAAAACCGGTTTGTAGAAATGTTGGCAAATTCATTAAAAATAAAAACAGATACCTTATTTAGTTTGCCCACTGACAAAGAAATGATCAGTCTATAATTGTAATGGTAGGTTTATTTGAACAGTGAGAGACAGAATAACAAAAAAAAAAATGATTTGCATTTTAATGAGGGAAATAAGTATTTGACCCCCTCTCAATCAGAAAGATTTCTGGCTCCCAGGTGTCTTTTATACAGGTAACGAGCTGAGATTAGGAGCACACTCTTAAAGGGAGTGCTCCTAATCTCAGCTTGTTACCTGTATAAAAGACACCTGTCCACAGAAGCAATCAATCAATCAGATTCCAAACTCTCCACCATGGCCAAGACCAAAGAGCTCTCCAAGGATGTCAGGGACAAGATTGTAGACCTACACAAGACTGGAATGGGCTACAAGACCATCGCCAAGCAGCTTGGTGAGAAGGTGACAACAGTTGACGCGATTATTCGCAAATGGAAGAAACACAAAATAACTGTCAATCTCCCTCGGCCTGGGGCTCCATGCAAGATCTCACCTCGTGGAGTTGCAATGATCATGAGAACGGTGAGGAATCAGCCCAGAACTACACGGGAGGATCTTGTCAATGATCTCAAGGCAGCTGGGACCATAGTCACCAAGAAAACAATTGGTAACACACTACGCCGTGAAGGACTGAAATCCTGCAGCGCCCACAAGTTCCCCCTGCTCAAGAAAGCACATATACATGCCCGTCTGAAGTTTGCCAATGAACATCTGAATGATTCAGAGGAGAACTGGGTGAAAGTGTTGTGGTCAGATGAGACCAAAATCGAGCTCTTTGGCATCAACTCAACTCGCTGTGTTTGGAGGAGGAGGAATGCTGCCTATGACCCCAAGAACACCATCCCCACCGTCAAACATGGAGGTGGAAACATTATGCTTTGGGGGTGTTTTTCTGCTAAGGGGACAGGACAACTTCACCGCATCAAAGGGACGATGGACGGGGCCATGTACCGTCAAATCTTGGGTGAGAACCTTCTTCCCTCAGCCAGGGCATTGAAAATGGGTCTTGGATGGGTATTCCAGCATGACAATGACCCAAAACACATGGCCAAGGCAACAAAGGAGTGGCTCAAGAAGAAGCACATTAAGGTCCTGGAGTGGCCTAGCCAGTCTCCAGACCTTAATCCCATACAAAATCTGTGGAGGGAGCTGAAGGTTCGAGTTGCCAAACGTCAGCCTCGAAACCTTAATGACTTGGAGAAGATCTGCAAAGAGGAGTGGGACAAAATCCCTCCTGAGATGTGTGCAAACCTGGTGGCCAACTACAAGAAACGTCTGACCTCTGTGATTGCCAACAAGGGTTTTGCCACCAAGTACTAAGTCATGTTTTGCAGAGGGGTCAAATACTTATTTCCCTCAATAAAATGCAAATCAATTCATAATATTTTTGACATGCATTTTTCTGGATTTTTTTGTTGTAATTCTGTCTCTCACTGTTCAAATAAACCTACCATTTAAATTACTGATCATTTCTTTGTCAGTGGGCAAACGTACAAAATCAGCAGGGGATCAATTACTTTTTTCCCTCACTGTAAGTATTCAGACCCTTTGCTATGAGACTCGAAATTGAGCTCAGGTGCATCCTGTTTCCATTGATGTGGTCCTCTGTAGCTCAGCTGGTAGAGCACGGCGCTTGTAACGCCAAGGTAGTGGGTTCGATCCCCGGGACCACCCATACACAAAAAAAATTATGCACGCATGACTGTAAGTCGCTTTGGATAAAAGCGTCTGCTAAATGGCATATTATTATTATTTTATTATTATCATCCTTGAGATGTTTCTACAACTTGATTGGAGTCCACCTGTTGTAAATTCAATTGATTGGACATGATTTGGAAACCCACACACCTGTCTATATAAGGTCCCACAGTTGACAGTGCATGTCAGGGCAAAAACCAACCCATGAGGTCGAAGGAATTGTCCGTAGAGCTCAGAGACAGGATTGTGTCGAGGCACAGATCTGGGGAAGGGTACCAAGAAATGTCTGCAGCATTGAAGATCCCCAAGAACACATTGGCCTCCATCATTCTTAAATGGAAGAAGTTTGAAACCACCAAGACTCTTTCTAGAGCTGGCTGCCCAGCCAAACTGAGCAACCGGGGGAGAAGGGCCTTGGTCAGGGAGGTGACCAAGAACCCGATGGTCACTCTGACAGAGCTTCAGAGTTCCTCTGTGGAGACGGGAGAAACTTCCAGAAGGACAACCATCTCTGCAGCGCTCCACCAATCAGGCCTTTATGGTAGAGTGGCCAGACGGAAGCCGCTCCTCAGTAAAAGGCACATGACAGCCCGCTTGGAGTTTGCCAAAAGGCACCTAAAGGACTCTCAGACCGTGAGAAAAAAGATTCTCTGGTCTGATGAAACCAAGATTGAACTATTTGGCCTGAATGCCAAGCGTCACGTCTGGAGGAAACCTGGCACCATCCCTACGGTGAAGCATGGTGGTGGCAGCATCATGCTGTGGGGATGTTTTTCAGCGGCAGGAACTGGGAGACTAATCAGGATCGAGGGAAAGATGAACGGAGCAAAGTACAGAGAGATCCTTGATGAAAAAAAACCTGCTCCAGAGAGCTCAGGACCTCAGACTGAGCGAAGGTTCACCTTCCAACAGGACAACAACCCTATACACACAGCCAAGACAATGCAGGAGAGACTTCGGGACAAGTCTCTGAATGTCCTTGTCTCTGAATGTCCTTGAGTGGCCCAGACAGAGCCCGGACTTGAACCCGATCGAACATCTCTGGAGAGACCTGAAAATAGCTCTACAGCGATGCTCCCCATCCAACCTGACAGAGCTTGAGAGGATCTGCAGAGAAGAATGGGAGAAACTCCCCAAATACAGGTGTGCCAAGCTTGTAGTGTCATAGCCAAGAAGACTTGAGGCTGTAATCGCTGCCAAAGGTGCTTCAACAAAGTACTGTGTAAAAGGTCTGAATACTTATGTAAATGTGATATTTCAGTTTTTGTATTTGTAATAAATTTGCACAAATTTGTAAAAACCTATTTTTGCTTTGTAATTATGGGGTATTGTGTGTAGATTGATGGGGGGGAAAAAACAATTTAATCCATTTTAGAATAAGGCAGTAAGGTAACCAAATGTGGAAAAAGTTAAGGGGTCTGAATACTTTCCGAATGCACTGTAGACTGACCGGGTAAATCCAGGTGAAAGCTATAATCCCTTATTGATGTCACTTGTTAAAACTACTTCAATCAGTGTAGATGAAGGGGAGGAGACAGGTTAAATAAGGATTTTAAAGCCTTGAGACATGGATTGTGTATGTGTACCATTCAGAGGGTAAATGGGCAAGACAAAATATTTAAGTGCCTTTGAACGGGGTATGGTAGTAGGTGCCAGTCGCCCAGGTTTGTGTCAAGAACTGCAACGCTG